ATGTTTTTTGTAAATTTCTGTCTCTTTTAATTAAATGAGCAACAAATCCTTTTGCCCTAATGTTGTGGAGTATTTTCACAGTGGAGGCTTGTATTTCTAATAAGTCGTCCTAAATTAGGTTCAAAGTACAAAACGTTAGGAACTTGGAAAATAAGAGTCAATGGCGCAGCAATCTAGTTGTGATGGTTGGTACTTCAAATGTCCGAATCTCGACTGACGCGCTCAACACCATTCGGTATTTATCGTTCCACCCACGAGAAACGAATATGGCACAAGGCCGGTTTTATTGTGGGTTTCTCCGAACCCGTAGGCTCGGCCAAAAAAATAGCCTTTGAAGCCGATTAGACGGGTTCAGGCCCTGTTCACCTCCCGGACGAAACTTTGCCCTTTGGCAAAGCCTTGTCAGGTTCCTCTGCTAACGCAGAGAGTTCGACAGGAGGCGTGCGCAGTCAGAGACCGCTCAACACCATTCGGTATTTATCATTTCACCCACGGAAACGAATATGGCACAAGGCCGGTTTTATTGTGGGTTTCTTCGAGCCCGTAGGCTCGGCTAAAAAATAGCCTTTTGAAGCCGATTAGACGGGATTCAGGCCCTGTCAACCTCCCCGGACGAAACTTTGCCCTTCGGCAAAGCCTCGTCTGGTTCCCTCTGCTAACGCAGAGAGTTCGACAGGAGGCGTGCGCAGTCAGAGACCGCGAGACGCCATTCGGTATTTATCATTTCACCCACGGAAACGAATATGGCACAAGGCCGGTTTTATTGTGGGTTTCCCGAGCCCGTAGGCTCGGCCAAAAAAAATAGCCTTTGAAGCCGATTAGACGGGTTCAGGCCCTGTCAACCTCCCCGGACGAAACCTTGCCCTTCGGCAAAGCCTCGTCTGGGTTCCTCTCTGCTAACGCAGAGAGTTCGACAGGGAGGCGTCCGCAGTCAGAGACCGCGAGATGCCATTCGGTATTTATCATTTCACCCACGGAAACGAATATGGCACAAGGCCGTTTTTTTTGGGTTTCCCCGAGCCCGTAGGCTCGGCCAAAAAAATAGCCTTTGAAGCCGATTAAACGGGTTCAGGCCTCCGGACGAAACTTTCCCCGGACGAAACTTTGCCCTTCGTCTGGTTCCTCGGGTTTGCTAACGCAGAGAGTTAGACAGGAGGCGTCCGCAGTCAAAGACCGCGAGATGCCATTCGGTATTTATCTTTTCACCCACGGAAAGAATATGGCACAAGGCCGTTTTTTTATGTGGGTTTCCTGAGCCCGTAGGCTCGGCCAAAAAATAGCCTTTTGAAGCCGATTAAACTTTGCCTCCCCGGACGAAACTTTGCCCTCGGCAAAGCTTCGTGGGTTCTGCTAACGCAGAGAGTTAGACAGGAGGCGTCCGCAGTCAAAGACCGCGAGATGCCATTCGGTATTTATCTTTTCACCCACGGAAAAGAATATGGCACAAGGCCGTTTTTATGTGGTTTTCCCCGAGCCCGTAGGCTCGGCCAAAAAAAATAGCCTTTTGAAGCCGATTAAACGGGTTCAGGCCCCATCTACCTCCCGGACGAAACTTTGCCCTTCGGCAAAGCTTCGTCTGGGTTCCTCTCTCGCTAACGCAGAGAGTTCGACAGGAGGCGTCCGCAGTCAAAGACCGCGAGATGCCATTCGGTATTTATCTTTTCACCCACGGAAAAGAATATGGCACAAGGCCGGTTTTTATGTGGGTTTCCCCGAGCCCGTAGGCTCGGCCAAAAAATAGCCTTTTGAAGCCGATTAAACGGGTTCAGGCCCTGTCTACCTCCCCGGACGAAACTTTGCCCTTCGGCAAAGTCTGGTCAGGTTCTGCTAACGCAGAGAGTTAGACAGGAGGCGTCCGCAGTCAAAGACCGCGAGATGCCATTCGGTATTTATCTTTTCACCCACGGAAAGAATATGGCACAAGGCCGTTTTTTTATGTGGGTTTCCCTGAGCCCGTAGGCTCGGCCAAAAAAATAGCCTTTGAAGCCGATTAGACGGGTTCAGGCCCTGTCTACCTCCCCGGACGAAGCCTTTGCCTTCGGCAAAGCCTCGTCCGGGTTCCCTCTGCTAACGCAGAGAGTTAGACAGGAGGCGTCCGCAGTCAAAGACCGCGAGATGCCATTCGGTATTTATCTTTTCACCCACGGAAAGAATATGGCACAAGGCCATGGGTTTCCCCGTAGGCTCGGCCAAAAAAATACTTTTTGAAGCCGATTAGACGGGAGGAGTCCCTCCCGGACGAAGCCTTGCCCTTAGCAAAGCCTCGTAGGTTACTAACGCAGTTAACAGGAGGCGTCCGCAGTCAAAAAGATGCCATTCGGTATTTATCTTTTCACCCACGGAAAAGAATATGGCACAAGGCCGATTTTTATGTGGGTTTCCTGAGCCCATAGGCTCGGCCAAAAATAGCCTTTTGAAGCCGATTAGACGGGTTCAGGCCCTGTCTACCCCCCCGGACGAAAAACAAAGCCTCGTGTTAACGCAGAGAGTTAGTGTCCGC